TGCCTACACCCAGGGCATGTGGTCTGACTGGAAATTGAATATGGTCCTCTTGGTGCGTGGATCGATGCTCAGCTGAGACACACTGGCCGGGTGCCTCTAAACATTTTTAAGATGAAAAGCAACAACCTTCATAGTAAGCTTCTAGCATAGCTGCGATTGCAGAGCCAAAACTATTCGACAGACAAATGGAAAACGTGTGCTTCCTGAGGGGCATATGAGGCCTGAATGAAGACTCACACCCAATTTGCAGAAGTGACCACACTGCCACATGCACCCTGAGGCACATGTAGATACGCCCAGTTCAGTGATATCTTGTTGGGATTTGAAATTGGCTGCCGTAGGAGGACTCACGCCAGGAAACTAGCAAATGCTGCTAAGCAGCGTTTTGATGTTATTTTTGGAGGGATGCTACCACAATCCAGTGCACACATATGCACATACATGTGGGGGGGGGCGCACACGGTCCTACTCATGGATGTGGGGGTGGGGGGCTGGGATTGTGCCAAAATCAGACTGCCCAGGCTTGGAACTCATGTCTGCCTCTCCCTGAGTCTCAGCCTTAGTTTCCTCATCTGTAGATACAGCAGTATCGACATTCCAGGGATGTTAGGAGAACTGATGTAGGTAAAACTGCCTGGGGTGGGGGGCGTGGCTGGCACATGGCGCATGCCCACAGACTTTAACTGCCATCGTTCCAGGAACTGGGGCTGTAATGCCTGCCCTGGGCCTCTTGTCAGTCCTGTGTGTGACCAAGAGGCCTCCGTGCAAGCCCCGAGGAGAACCTCACAGGCCTCGGCCAGGCCAGCCCAGGGCAGCCGCACTCAGGCCCCCGTAGCTGCTGGGATCAGGGTCTGTGAGGGGCAGGAGCTCCATGATGGGACTGGCCATCCTGTTTGGGAGCTCCCTGACTCGTCCTGTCTGGAGACACAGCTAGAGCAGCACAAAGGCCCTTCCACTCAGGGTTGCCATTCCAGTGGGGGACAATCAGCAAAGAAAATGGGCAAGTGAAATAGAGCGCGCTAGCCGCAGCACTACGGCAGACAGTCAAGCAGGGTGGCGGTGTGGGCCTGAGCGTGTGTGAAGGACATAGCAGGCTCCTCAGGAAGGCGTGGCTGCAAAGCGGGCATTTTAGCAGACACCCGGAAGATTTCTGGACGAGGAGTTTCCGGGATGATGGAACGTGTGCAAAGGCCCTGGATGGGGCAAGAGCTGGGAGTGTGTGTTCCAGGAAGAGCAGGGAGGCCTGAGTGGCTGAGGGGAGAAGGCAGGGCAGGGGAGAGAACGCCTGAGATTAGTCTCCATCACTGCTGCACTGCCGCTTCCTCAAGCCCTCAGGGCAAACCGTGACAGAAATAAACACAGGATCGCGGAGCCGAAAGGCTGACTTGGAAGGCCCTCCCATCCTATTTGGGGTGGGAGAGTTGGCGACATGTGTCAAGACTCTGGGGAGCAGCATCGCACCCCGAAGTGTCCCTCCTCACACCCAGCAGAGCTGGAAGGGCCCACAGCGGGGGTCTGGGGACCTCAGGACTCAGGACTACCTATAGGGCTGGTGGGCCGACACCCAAGATCTCTTCCAATGTCTGGGACTCCAACACTGGAAAGGGGCAGAGGATGTGGAAGGAAGACACTGACATACTGTTCACTCATTCACCCTAAGAGGCACACACCTCTGAGGCATGCCCACGCATGCTCACGCAAGCACATGTTTACAAGCAAGGCAGGCAGGCACCCGCCTTACAGCCCATCCGGTACTCAGATGTGAAAACAAGGGTTTTCACCTGTGTAGCACCTGCTCTCACCTTTATGTCTGGAGCTCCACGGAGGCCTCACCTAGTCTGTAGAAGTGCTGTCATTTTACACTGGGGGACACTGAGGCACAAAAGGTTACAGGAGGTGCAATGTTACAAGACTGGATCTGGACCGAGGCTGTGGGTCAGCATGTCCCTGCGTGTGCAGTCACCAGACAGAGCTGCGGACGACACATATGCACATACATGGGGGTGGGTGGGTGTGGACACTCCCGGTTCTGTCCACTGCACAGCCCCAGGGCCAGGGCGGGCTGCAGAGCTGTCAGCCTATGAGAGAGCAGTGGGCAAGCCCGGCCACCCACCCACCTACCGTGGCTGGGGAGGGAATGAGGTGAGAGGCACTTAGCAGCCTCTGGAAGGCTCAGGCAGCTGCTGTGGCCGGCCTGCCAGCAGCCCCCAGTAATGGATGAGGCGTGAGTCCCATAGGCAGCAGGGTGCTGACCCCAGCTGGGGGTCCTCTGCCTCAGCCCATTCATCATGGTGACAGGTGGAGCCCGGGGGACTGGAGGGTGGGCAAGTGTGAAGGAGGCCATGCCACCAGCAGGCTCATGCACAGGTGTCCTGAGGGAGACAGGGCTTGGGGTCATTCTGTACCTGGTGTAGCTCTGTGGTCAGACCGTGGCTACCCCCAACCATGCCCTAAGCATGGCCAGTCCTAACCCCACACTGGATGCCTGGTCTTTTATCATCCTACACCCATCTCAGCTCTCTGCAGCCCAGTGGGCAGTGAGCGCCTTTTATTCCATCTTAGCAGGATGTTCTGCTCAGTCCATCCTTCGCTTCTCCGTGGACTGAGAGTGGAAGGGGTGTAGAAAGGGGTGCAGGGTCCCACAACCACGGCCAGACAGCAGGTATCCCCACCTGGCAGAGTGGCAGCTGCTACACTGGCCATAGACCTTGGGTCCCACAGCCCCGGGAGTGCTTCCAGCCCCCTCATGTGCCTGCCAAGTGCAGGAAGCAGAGCTCAGTGAGAGAGAGGGTGTGCATGGCATAGGATGGCCATCCCAACCCCAACTGAAACCAGGGCTTTGTGAAGTCCTCTGGACCCCTTAAGCCACACCCAGAGCCCTCTGTCATGGGACTGAGCACCCTCTACACTAAAAGGGCTTCTCTTCTCATTCATAGCGAGTCTGGCCCTGCCCCCACTGCGTCCTGCTGTTGGTTCACCTGGACAGAGCCTGGGCCAGGCCCAGAAGACCTCCTCCGGAGTGGAGGGAGAGCACATGAACCTACAAGGAGGGTAAGCGCCTACTTATAAAGAACACACATCAACGACAAAAGAAGGAAGGGAGCTCTGACACAGTCCACAGCATGGACAAGCAAGGAAAACACCAAGTTGTGTGTGGACGATTCATGGACCTGGAATGCCCAGAACATGCAATCCCATGGGTGGAAAACTGGTCTGTGGTAGCTGGGGCTGGGGAGGGGGTCGACTGCGGATGGGGGAGAGTCTCTTTTGAGGTGATAGAAGCGCTCTGGGATGAGGAGGTGTGGGTCCCCAACACTGAATATGCTAGATGCCACTGAATCATGCACTTTCTAATGGTGACAATGATGACTTTTATTTGATGTGCATTTTATCACAATTTCATAAAAAAAGGAATGGTCAGGGAAACCCCCTGGGAGAGGCATGTGAGAGAGTCTTGAATAAAGAAGAACATTGGGCCATGTGAAGAAGGAGGAGTATCTGGAAATAGCTGGTACTCAGCAGGATGTTCCGGAATGTTCCGGAAGCAGCGAGGAGGAAGGCGGCCCAGTGAGTGCAGAAAAGCAGCAGGTGGAAGAAGCTACAGGAAGGCAAGGCTGAAAGATTAGGAGGCCTCCAGGTGAGGTCATTCCTTCTAGAACTTTCTCCAGTCTGGAGCCTTGGTCAGAATTCCAGCTGATAGGAAGGAACTCCTACGGAGGAAGGCCAGTGGCTTAGGGATCAGAGGTTGCCTCTGGGGGGCACCTCAGGGCCTAAGTGCCAACTGAGAGCAGGAGCAGCTGGAGCGTGGGTGGGCATTGACTCTGTGCCAGAATCGGCACTTCTTCAGTTCAGAACTTTCCCTGCGGTCACCGCACCTCAGCTTCGCAGGAGCATGCACATCCCAGGGCCCTTTCCTTCTGGTCCAGGTGAGGCACTTGAAGGGGTTTGGAAGCTAATTAAGGTCGCCAGGTCCTTAGAGTAACTGGCAAGAAAACAATGAATACCTGGCAAAGCAAAGCGATGCCTGAAGACAAGAGGCTCCCGCCACCCGGAGCCCATCGGCCCATCAGCCAGGCCTCCCAGTCACGGCTGCGGGAGGCCTGGTGAGGCCTGGTGAGGCCATCTGCATCAGGCAAGTTGACGTGGGGTCACCTTTGACCCAGAGCCAACCTGGCCTTGGGGTTCCCAAATGGACCCCAGCCAGATGGCCCAGGCCAGACCCCGAGAGGACCCCTCATACCTGCCCTCTGGCTGTGTGACCTCCTGCCCTGGTGCCTGCCTTCCACCTGCCGCTGCGAGGATGTCAGTCACCTGCCAGGCTCCTGGGCGACTTGGCAAGGGAACCTGCAAGCAGGGTTGTTTTTCCCGGATGAGGAGAAGGCAGGAGGGGGGAAGTGTGTTGAATGGCTGCCCCTGGGGCCACCCAGGCCACTGCTTCCGACGCTACCTCCAGACACCCAGCCTGTACTCAGAGCAGGGAAGGGTGAAGGTGCGGCAGCTGCATCTGCACCCAACATTTCCCCAGGCCCTGAACGGGCCACTCCCTGCTCCAGGGATGTGCAGGTGGTGGGCTCACCCACCCAGGTGGTCTGAGCAAACGGGAGAGGGTGCTAATGGCTTTGAGAAGACAGCTGGCAGCATCCTCCTGCTGCCCTATCAGCTGGAGTCTGGCCAAGGTCTCTGCCTGCATCTCCATGCTGATCTGAGATTGGCCTTGACCCTCATGTCCACTTGGGACCCTACTCTGACCCCTCAAGTGGACGGACTGTCGCTACCCTACAGCCAGGCTGGGGCATCACAGTACCAGCACGTCTCCTCACAGCCGCGGGTCTAATCCCATCCCTAGCTAGACTGTCAGCTCCAGGAGGCCAGGCCCCCTCCATCTAGTTGGCTGCTCAGCACGTGGCCTGGGGTGGGCACGCCATAAATACACACGCCTCAGGGAAGGGACAGAGCAGCAACACTGGGGCTGGGGGCTGGGCAGGGGGCCAGGACGGCTGGGGCCAGGGTGGGCGGCAGGACCGGGCCGGTGACAAGGTGGACCCAATCAGGAGGCTCCGAAGTGCGACATGAATGTGGTGTTCTTACGTAAGAGGAGGGTGATGGGAGAGGAAGGGATGGGCTCGGGGCTGGGGTTTCCACTGATCGGCAGCCCGGCTCTCTGCCGCCGCCCGCTTCTGGGCTTTCTTGGCTGGGGCTGCTCCTGACAGAAGGGACGCATGTTGTCGGGGGCGGGGGGGGGGCTTGGCATGTGTGTGTGTGTGTGTGTGTGTGTGCATGTGTGAGTAAGTGTGTGTGTTTAAAATACAAAAAAAAAAAAAAAAAAAAAAAAAGCGTGGCTACACCCAGCTGCAAGAGGCTGGCCGGGCTCCGTCCGTGCCAGTTGCCTCTGAGCTGGCACTGTGGGGACAGGAGGAGGGAGAGGTGAGGAGCCGCTGCGAGCGAGCGAGCGGAAGATGGACGCTTGCCATGGACGCGCGGCAGGCTGGGCGCCTCCTGGGTGCCGCGGACTCACGGGGGGCAAAACTCACAGACAAAAACCACAGCGAATCGCTGGCGCCCATCCCGGGGAGGCGGCAGCCGCTTGGCAGCGGAGCCACGGAGGACCCGGCTGGCAGCAGTTGGACAGTGGCGGCCGGCGAGACACAGGTAACAAGTGAGTGGGGCTCAGGGGGCAGGTGGCTGGGTCTCGGCCTGGGTGCAGGTGGCATGGCTCAGCAGCCTGCGGGGACGGCGGTGTCCAGCGGGTTCTGGGCCAGCAGGTTCAGTCCTTTCCCCCCTGGCTCCCTGCGCACTGCCGCGGGCACAGGAGGTTGTCCACCGCCCTGGGGCCTGTGTGTCCGGGGTGGTGGCCAGGAGCCCGTCAGGAGGGGCAGGTGCCATCCTGCACAGAGGACTGAAGCAGGGCTGGCTGGCTGGGTTCGGGTAGTGTCGGGGTTTCAGAGGACAGCAGTCACATCCAGGGTCCCTGGCGCTGCAGTGCCTCTGCCTCTGGTACTCTGGCCCCTCCCTCTGGGGTCTTGGGCTGAGTTGCCTCCACCCCTAGCTCTGCTGGCTCTTAGGGCCAGGTCCTCGCTGCCCCATGTTTGGAATCGTGTCCCCAAACCGTCCTTGAATGTCTGTCTATTTCTTTTCACAGGCCAAGCCAGGGACTCAGTTGGGGACGGGAGGAGGGCTGGAGGGTGACACCTGGAGGGGCCGGGAGATCCCAGGAGAAGCATCTCCCTTCCCTCCCTCCCATCTGCCCAGAGCCCTACAGCCTGGCTTGGCACCGCAGCGCCTGTGTGCAGACTGGTGGGACCACAGCCAAGCGCGGCCATCAGAGGGAGCTCAGGTGGCTGTGCCAAGGAGCCCAGCTGCCGAGGGCATGGGGCGAGCTGCCTGGGCGGGGAGGAGCCGCGCATGGGGGTTCCATGGATAAAGCCCTTGCGGGGCAGAAAGGGCCAAGGCAGTGGGAGAGGCTACGTGGACTTCTTACCCGCCAGGAGGTGGTGGCAGGAGACTCGTGTCGAGTGCTGCTAGCCATGGTGCCCAGCTCCATTGGGGTGAGGGTGGGAGGGACCTCCAAACACATGGGGCAAAAGTGACAGGGACACAGACCGTGGACTTGGGGCACAGGACCAGCGGGGACACCGTTGGCACTCCAGGGGCTCTGGGCTGGGATGCCGTCCTGTGTGATGTTCAGAGCGGCCAGAGTAGATCCAGAGAGAAGGTGGCACAAGGGAGCCTAGGGCACGTGGCAGGAAAGGGCGGCCTGTGCCCTGGACAGTGGCCAGTCCCAGCTCTGCCAAGTAGGAAGGGGCTTGGGCTATGAGCGTGTGAGGGCCAAGGGGCCTGGCCCTGGGAAGGCAGTGAGGAGCTTCCACAGTCTGGGCTCGCTGAGGGGCAGCAATGTGGGGTGACCCAGCTCTGGGGGCTGGGGAACGCAGGGTTTGGCGTTAGGCAGGTGGAGATGGAACAAGAGGTGCTTTGGGGATTCAGGCAGGGCTCGGGCCCTGGCTGAGAACCAACCTCAGGATTGTCTGGGCAGAGAGCAGGGGCCCTCAGGGATGGGCTGTTCGGATCAGCAGGTAATGGAGACTTTTGGAGAACGTGCCCGGGCCCAGCCTGGCCAGCCCTGGAAGCTAGTGTGATGGCCCTGGGTGCTGCCAGGAGCCGAGTCCGGGGTCTGCACATGACAGAACACCCTGAGGTCTCAGAGCCTCCGGGTGGCTGGCTGTGAGGAGGGCAGGCACCATTCAGCAGGTAGGCTGGTGCGACCAGGGGCGTCCTGTGGCTCACGCCCTGGCACAGGTGCAGGTTTGCCCAGGTCTTTCTAGCCCCAGACCCCCTAGGACTCTCCATCACCAGCTCTGACTCCCTCACTACCAGGGTAGGTCTGTCCTGTCCCAGGTGAACCCTGGTCTGACTACCTATCAGGGGATTTCAGATCCTGAGGGGCTGTGGGCAGTGGTCCATTGTGCCTCCAGCGAGGGGAGGCAGGGAACCCCCCAACCATAGCGTCATTCCACAGCCCAACGCCCATTAGTCCAGGTGCGGTCCCCTGCCTCCTGCGCTGCCCCTGGTCCCAGTGCTGCCCCAGCCTGTGGCCTCATCTGGAAATTGAGACCGAGGGTCCCATCCCTGGAACAGCTCTGACCTGGCCTCAGGCCTGGGTGGGGAAAGTAGGCAGAAGGAGCCGTGCTGTGAGGGAGCTGACCCATAATGTCCACCCCCACAGCCTTGCCCAGAGTTGCCCCCACTGGCAGGTCTTTGTCCCCAGAACTGGGGTGACTGGCCCGAGCCAGTGTGATGCCAGGGAGAGAGCTATCCTCAGCGGCAGAGGCCTGTACCCCCTCGTACCACCTCCGAATTTCACAGTCCTACTTCCTGCATGGGCTCCCAGCTCCCTGGAGAGTCCACCAGATGTTCCTCTACCGCCACATTGCTTCCCTAATGAAATATTCATGAAGTCTTTCTGCCTCTTGGCAGAAAAGCCTCCGCGGCTCCCACACCTCCCAGAGGGTCCTGGGAGTGAGTAGGCACAGACCATCCCCGCTTACCCTGCCCGTCCCATGTCTTAGCCACCCCATGTGAGGACAGGCTATCCTCCCAGCCCAGCAGGGGAGGGACCCATAGCTTCTGGTGGCCTCCACTCCACACCAACAAGACCTGACGCATAGCCCACCGAAATGCCCTCTTGCTGTGTGGTGGCCAGAGCTCTTGCTGGCACTCCAGTTACCTGCCATCCATCTGTCCATCCGTTTGTCCACCCATCCATTTCATTGTCCATCCAATGAATGATCTTGTACTCATCTGTCCACTCATCCTTCCATCTGATTGTACTACATCAGCTGAAAGCCTGCTATGTGCCATTTCTGTACATGGAACTTGAACTCCATAATGTCAAGTGAAGGACTGGCCCTGTGCTCTGGGCCAGACACATATGATATTCTCCATCCACTAGGCATCCTCCAAGGCCTTGCAAAGTCCACAGAGAACCCTGTCTTCAGCTTTCCAGGGGCCAGCCCAGGTGTCACCCCAGGTCCCTGAAATGCCATGGATAGGATCTCAGTTGCTATGTTCACTCCCAGCCATGCCTAGGGGAAGCGAGTACAGGAAGGCAGGAGGCTATAGTTGGGACTTGCCCTGGGGCTAGCTGGGTGAGGGGCCTCAACGGGGCCACTTCTCCAGTGCCCCCTCACTGTGCAAATGGCTCCCACAGATTGGCTCCCACTGGGTGCTCCACATGTGCACATCTGGCCCTGGGTGAGGTGGCTACTGCACCCAGCCCCACAGCCTCCCCAATCCTGCTGCAGTGCTCTACAAAACAGGGCTGTGGAGCCCTGCTGTCCATGCCGGTGGGTGGCCACCTAAGAGCCACCTGCCTGGGTGAGCCCTAGACAGACACTCACCGATGGTACCAGGTGCACCCGATGGTTCTGAGGCTGGGTGCCTGCACCCTCCTGTTTGGCCCTGCCCTGGCCCTGCAGCCAGCACTTTTGCACCTCTGCTCGGGCAGGGACAGCACCGGGGTGCCCAACCCTTCTCTCCCTGATTTGGACTCATGCTCTAAGGTAGGGGTGTCGAACTCAATCAGAGAAGGGGCCAAAATCTAAAATCCAGCCTAAATCGCGGGCCGAATGGTTTACTGAACAGTCATAAACTGTCATTGTGATGGAAACGCAGCGGAGTGCAGTGATGACAGCGCGGTGCGGGCCACATTGCAAGGCCTGGCGGGACGGATTTGGCCCGCGGGCCTTGTGTTTGACACATGTGCTCTAAGGCGTCACAAGGTTCCTCCCGCCTGGTGGATCTATGGGGTGTGTCTGTCCAGGAAGGTGAGACTCCATGGGTCTCATGGCTGTGTTGATGGATGAGAGGGTGAGGGCTGGATAGACAGGAGAGGAGGGTGGGGGTGGTATGCACAGGGCTCAGGTGACTCCCTCACACTCTGTGAAACTTAATACCCTTGTCCTCTTGGCTTTCTGTTCACTGTCAGGGACGGGGTGGTAATGAAGGGATGGGGGATGGAGGGGTGCAGAAATATAACCTCCCATGAGTGTGGGGCAGTGCTGATGCTCAGTGCATGGCTTGGGGCCAGCCAGACCCACTTCAAGCTCCAGCTCTGTGCTTGTCCTCTCTGAGCCTCCACTTTCTTATCTGTAAAATGGTCCCGGCCACACTAGAGTTCATAGAAGGATGACTCCTGGCTTGGTGCCTGGCCTGAATTGCCCTCAGGAAATGCCAACAGGTAGCAACCAGGCTTCATCCGGCTAAGGCCATCCCCTGACATCAGCCACCACAGATCTAGACAACCCTTCTGCCACCTTGTCCCCTGGATCTACCCTCGAGGAGAACAGGGGAGCCTAGGCCCAGAGGAAATTTACGGCAGGGTGAGGGACTCAGAGTTCTTGAACTCTGGACTGGGCCATCCTTCCCTGAAGGGCCATCGAGGCTCCCAGCCCTCCTGCAGGGGCCTGTTGACTCTCCTTGGAGCAAGGGGTGCTGGGAGATTAGAGGCTTCTCTATGTTGTGTGAGTTCCCAGGCACTGCCTTGCCTGGACCCCACACCTGGATGGCAGAGGGAAGCTCAGGAGGAGGGAAAGGGGCCGGTGGATGTGTCTTACCCAGAGAGGTCCTCACTTGGTCTCTCTGCTCAGCCAGGGTCTCCCTGGTCTGGAGAGGGGCGATGGGGGCAAATGGCTGCTTCTGAGATCCCCACAGGGGGCGGAAAGCACAGTGAGGCTGCTGTGTGACAGGTCCATGACACTGGTCTGCAGGTGGTGGCCACAGGAAGCCCAGTTCTGCCCCACAGGCTTTCCGGGCAACATGTTTTCCTGGGTGCTTTTAGGGGGTCCACCGCTCTAGGAGACTCTGCCAAGCATCAGAGCCAGGCCCAAGCCTGTGCTCCATTCTGCCCACCGCAGGGGCAGGCCCTGGCTTGGAAGGGGCTCCTGGTAGGCTCCAGGGCTCCAGCCCTCCCCAAGTCTGCACGGGGCCTTGCCACCCGCCCTGGCCTCTGGGCTGAATCTTTGTCATTAACGGCCTGTCTGACCTTGGTAACTGTCCCCTGAGTGACAAGATAAAAGCTCCATGAGGGTGCCAGCTACTGAGAGGAGAGCTTCAGCTTTGCCCCAGTGTTTTGTCTAATTGTCTGAGGTGGATTC